TGTTCTTCAATACTCCCACGAAGGTCTTCCAAGTAGAATATAATTGAAATCTTTCTCAGAAACCCAAGTGTTGGCCATACAGCAACAGACCACTAATCACTCTAGAATAGGGATGTGAATGGTTAACTGGTTAATCAGCAAGTATCACCCTTCCTGGTTATGGTTAACAGGTGGTTGGGCTGGAGTAGCAGCCCACCTGACATGGTCAGGGATGGGAGGAGGGGTGGGCCCTCGGCCTAGTGTGGTGGGCCCTCCTGCCTGGCTGGAGCATCCCAGCGTGGTGCAGGTGGAGGTGGGGGTGGGGGATGCACTCTGGCCCCTGCCTGCCCCTGTTTAAGCAATTAACCAGGTGACTGATTAAATGGGCTTCTACAACCATAATCTAGTATGGTATGTCTTGATTCCTTCCTATGAAAACATCTCTGCAAAGTGTTACTATGCATCTCCTATTCCCATAGTTTTAGAGCTGTGCTGGAGCAAAAGACTTCGGGACACCCACCTCATCACATAGGGTGCATCAAATGAAGTGGCTTTTGTAACTAACGTCTTAATAAAGTGTAACTTTAGGTCTTTTCAAAATGCAGCACACAATAATACTTCAAACCTTCCCTTGAGCTGCTAAACAATGGTTTAGAAAGTATGATCTTGTGTATAATTGCAGTCCATCAATATTGTATCAGTCCTTGTAAACCTGGATCTTAACTGTTAATAGATGTTATATTGAACTTGCTCTGACTAGCAAAGCCATTCAGTGTAGGATGGTGAATACTTGACACACACTTGGATTTGAGGTCCAAGTTGACACCACTAGTTAGTTGTGCTTTGAACAACACCAAGCTTTATAGCAAAGCGCAGTGCCAGGTTAGCTTGGATCCATCTTGTAATTTAATGAGGCTTGCCTTTAACACTTTGCAGACCTGCTTGTTTAATAAAATCAGCCTTTTGTATTTGCATAATATTTACACTAAGCGTTTTCTATATTCTAGGGAGGGTGTTTGATTTAAAGCCTTAAGCCATCCGCTGTTCAACCTCAGCTATTTCACCATATGTTTAAAGCCACTGAGTGCTTGGCTAACACTGACATCTAAAATACATTGCTTTCATGTGGTAGCTAATGTGCTGTCAGATCTTAGATTCTTGTCTAGACAAGTCCTGGACTATCTGGAAGTACATGGCTGCAAAGGATCCTCCCTGGCTAGTTTCATAGTGGAAGAAGGAAAATTTAGTGGCTAAAGATGGGGTTGAGGGAGTTGTTATATTAGCTGGAAGAGTTCTTTGTTAAAATGTCGCTAATTAAAGTCGGTCTTCTGCATGTGCTTAAAATAGCACTGTATGTTGTAGATGCGTGTAGTCCCATCCGTTTTAGAGGAAGCGCTTGAAACTGAAAAGCGACAGATGCTTGTCTAGACAGCAACTGCATGTCCTTTGTTTTAGTCATTCGGGAGTTTTTGTTGATATTGCTACACATCTGTCCCTGTGGCATTAGATTATTCAGATAATAAAAATACATTGCATCTAATTCGCTCATTGTCCATACACCTTTCTAAACTGTGGCATCTATTTTTATTTACTAAACCATGTCAAGATGCCCCTAACTAGGATTTGTGCTTGGTTATTTTAGCAGGACATGGTAGAAATACCTACAGATTTAGTTATAAAACTCATTACTTCTCAAAGACATTCCTGCCCAAACTCCACAGTAGCGAGATGCAACAGTTCTTGACTGTTTTGTTACTCAGCTTGAAAGTAAAGAAAGGCAGAACAAAGCCCAGTGAAGAATCGCCAGTATGGGGTTTGGATACCTGAGGGATAGGTTATGAGGAAATTGGGAGCATAATCTTCAGGTTATTGTCTTAAAATCCATCCTCCTACTTGGCACCTAACGGCTTTTGTGGTGTAGAGTCTGTAAACACATCAGACACCTCAGTGCAGACCGAATGGTGAGATGTTCACAGTTATTTCCCTTGTTTGTAGACCAGAAAGACCATATTCACTTTATTGAGAAACCAGTGCAAGGTTTGGGGCAACCTTTTTACTTTTGGGATTGACAACAGTACTTGACCTTTTGGAGAGCAGTAAGATATCCCAGAATCAGGAACAAACAGCTAAAGGAGAATGGTCAATCCAGCCAGTCTTTGTATTGCTGATTAGCCTAGGTATTCCTTATTAATGGCACATTGTTTTGGAGTGCTTAACAGCCCACTGAAGTTTGACATGGTGGTAGTAATTACAACTGGTGCCACAAAAAAGTGTACAAAGTCATCCACAGATATGCCTCTTATTCAACCCTGTTTTCAACCATGTACCCTTTTTTGCGGTGCTTCTAAGCTGGTAGCTAACAAGTTGTGTAGAATAGTTCGGCGCAAAATGTTGGGTGAGAAGGTGTCTTTTCCTCATTGTGTGTCCAACATTGTGGCTTTAGTGGTACTTATTGCTGAAAGATTAAATGTGCTCATCTATAAAAATGTATACATCTGAATAAATTTCTATAAAATCTCTAACAAGCTTATACAACTCTACAGCAGCATTCCTCTTACATGATTCGCTGCTGTTAAGAAATGAACTTGAATATTTAAATTAAATCTTCACTAATTCCTTAAGCAGATAACCTCTGCCCCCCAGAAAAGTACTGAACATCCCATGATGTTGGGTAGATGTAAAATCTGAATTGGGATAGACTATCCATAAGAGGAAGCATGGTTGCAAATGACTGATCAGCCATCTGTTCCCTTTACTTGTGACTACTCAGTATTAGGAAGTAACAGGAAGGCTTAGCCTCATCATAAAGATCATACAGTTGCTTCATGGTTTAACTATAGGGAAGAACAGCCGCTGTATTTAGCATATTCCCCTTCATTTAAGTTAATAACTCTACAGTTTTATTTTCCAGTATTCTACTATGCATAAATATTGCAATGCCCAAGCTACCACAGTCAGCAACTCAGTCTGTTACATGTACATTCTTTCTCTTGATTGCTACATCTGATTTGCTCAATATCAGCTTCTGTTTTAGCTGATGTTGGATAAATTGTTTATGGCTCACGTAGGAAGCATCATTCTAGGTCTCTGAAATCCATTGATTTGGCTTTTTTAAAGTCAGCCTTGGCTTAAGGACTCACTCCTGCTCCCAGTAAAATGTCAGAGGTCTAAACTGACGTCAGTGGAAGTAGGTTCGGAGCCTTATGTTGTTCACTTTTTTGTCTTTAACAGACTTCTGCTGTGCATACAGGGACTTGGATGAATGTGCATTTGAAGATTATTTTAGCCCAATACTTTGAATGGCTGTATAAAGGTCCATGCAGCAGCCATGTAAAAGGCCTACTAATTATAGTAAGAGAATTCTCTTACCAAATGGCCTCTGATCAATTAAATTGTTTTGGATTCTAAATATATTCTCTAATTTAGTGAACAAAAAGTGAGAGAAGAAAGCTGATTGAGAGAGATTTGTGAATCCTACCCACTCTAGGGATGTAAAATCCCATTTAATTTGTTAGCCAGTTAAATGGTGATGTGTAACTGGCTAGGTGATTCAAGAAGGGTGAGCAGGAGGGCTCCCTGCCCCTGCCACAATTGGGCTTCTCCAGACAACCGGTGGGCCGTGGGGGACTGGAACTGTTCCAATCCACACCGGTGAACCGGAACCAGTAAGCATCCCCAGTTAAGGGTGATACTTGCCAGATAACTTTTCACATCCCTAACCCACTCCAGTGGAAGTTCTTGGCAATTAGCCATCTAGCTAATTCTTCTGAAAAATGCACGTTCAACTAGTTGCCAGATGTGCTCCAGAACAGACATAGGAAGTTGGGAGTGTAATGAGAAACGTTCCATGCTGGCTTCCTGGGAGCGGGGCTGGCTCGGCTTGCTGGTACGGCTTCGCAGTCGCAGCAAAGCCTCCTCCCCGTGAGCACAGCCGCCAGCCCCTGCTCTGGGGAGACTTCTCTGTGGACTTTGCAGTGTAAAGTTTATTTAAGCTTTATAGTGCAGAGCCTTCAGCATGTAACCAAGTCACTGCTAGGATTTTTAGCATTCTATGGTTATCTTTTTAAACACATTTTTACATCTCTATTTTTTACACCTTCATCTGAACACCTGGTGGTGGCCACTGTGGTCTTGTCTAGACTAGAAATTTGGAAGGTATTAGCATAACATATGTTGACACCCTAATGTAGACAAGTATTTTAATGGGTTGGCTGGTTAGACAAGGTTCTTGACTAAGTGGACCACTGATCTATATGGCAGTTTGACTTAAATTTGGGAGGAAGAAGAAACGGTACAGAGCATGCTATGATTGGAAGTCTCCAGTGCTAAATAGTGAAGCTCCAAGATGCCTTTTCTGTAATCATTTTTTGGAGCAGAAGTGCTCTTTAAAATTATCCTTGGAACTTAGTTTTGCTCTTTCTTCTCTTCTAACTACATACTGATGGATTCCAGTTTGTTGCATGTTTCTCGCATTGGAATTACTCTTGGTTTTAGGCAGCTAAAATACAGAAATGATAGCTACTATTGATGCTTCTTAAATATTAAGAGCATAAACATTTTTTTAGAAACTTGCAATTATATTTGTCTTCTGAGTTAAGGGACAACAAGTATGAATCAGTGAATTAATGGGTTAGACACTCAATGTTAGGAATGTCAGGGTTTCCTTGTTAACCTCACTAATTTGTGGTGTTAGACAAGTGGTGAAAGATTGTTCCTCAGATGTGATCTGCAACTTGCACGTATTATGATAGATGCCACATTGACCATGTGTGCTGTGTATCAGAACAGTGTCCATAAACATGTAACAGGATATTATTTTTTACAATGGGAGAGCTTTTTCAAGAGATGAATTCTTCGCTCTGAATATTTTTCCTGTTAACGTACTGCAAGACTTTTTACCCCGACTTCAAATCTTTTTACATGCAAATTATTCTAATCTCGAGACTTACATTTTACATTTTTTTTTCTTTCAGAGCTGAGAAAACTGAAGTCCTTAGTGACGATCTATTACAGGTATTGTAACTCAGTTCATGTGCAAGCCTTTTGACTTTATAGAACGCTGCTTGTGGAAACAAGATAATAGGGACAGAAGTTAGGTAGGTTGATTCAGACTGGGCAAACTGATACAGCTGAAGGAGAAGAGAAACTGTCAAGCTTCATGAGACAAAAGGGGATTTGAAAGTTGAAGTACACTAAAAAAGCAAATCTAGATTAGAAGCAAAGAATTTGTAGCTTTTACGTTAACTGGTTTACTGTATAAAAAAATCTTTAAGAATGTAATTGTTTTTCTTGTTGATTCTCTCAGGCACTTTCTAGCTATGAGAGCATTACCATTGGGCAAGGCCGATGACCCAATGGTAATGGGTCATCATTACCATTGTTCTTGTGACCCCTTGTTCTTCTGATTTTCTTTCTGAAAGAGTTAATTTATATGGCTTTCAGAAAAGCTACAGTAAATGCTCTTTCTGCTTACAGAAATCCAAAAGATACCTTCAATTCTGATGAAGGTCTCTAGCAAGGTCTTTTAAGGCTTATTCTGAATAAGCCCACATTCGGTTTATATTTTGCATTTTACACAGTGTTATCCTAACTGTCTTGCTGATATCCATTGGTGTGCTTTGTGTTGTAATGGAAATGTTTTTGAAAGTTTCATATCTTTTTTTTTAAGTTACTTTAAACATAGTACTAGGGTTTGAATTTTTAGATGCTATTTTTACAAAGATTACCAATAACTGTTATAATTGACTGATTAATGGAAGTTTTCTTTTCACTTTTATTCATTCATTTGATGGCCCTTAATCAGTTTCTCCTATATGGGTGGGTCTTTCGCACAGCAAGTAGGGTGAGAAACGTTTGTAACAAACAATGCGATTGCTAAATCCCACACTATGGCTTGGGAATTTGGGTACAGTAATAGCCCCAAACCAATCTGAACTTATTTGCATAACTAGGTTGCATGTTGTCAGCATCTTTGTAATATGATTACTTTTCCTAAAGACTAGCAGTTGAGGCTGAAATTTTCCATGTTTGGTCTCTGCAAAGAAGCTCCTTTTTCAAAATTTGAGAATCACTTCAACTGTTGAAGTTACAAGAGTGGGAAAAATAATTTCAATTTAAAACATTGAAATGCTGATGTTAGAGGTGTATGTACAGCTACCTCAGGTAATCTATCAATTTATCTTATTTCAATAGTCCATCTTTCTCCTGGACTACGGGGTTTACTTTTTTTGCATCAGAAATACCAAATAGTTTTTGGCAACATTACTGAGAAAATATTTGAAGTAAATCTTAAAAAAAAAAAAAAAAAGGGGGGGGGGGGAGCTATATTAAGGACTCTAAAATATGCCATGAGAGCTTGCAGAACTCATCTGTTGTCGTAGTTAGAAAGCAGAATATGAATGTGAAATAAAGACTAACTCCATCTCACTTGTTGCCAACATTTTTTTGCACGCAGTTTTCCCAGGCTCAGTACAGACTGGTTACACCCTGATGGAAGATTTTACTCGTTTGTTTGCTTGTTCTTGGGGAAAACTCTTGTCTGATGACCAAAGGCGCAAGCAGTGTAGTGAATATTTTATTAACAGGCTTTTAACCTTTGTTATGGTTTGGCTTTGGCCCATTTTGAAATAGTTGCTCTGATTTGCTGAGTGCCATATTCATGTTCAAATATGCCTGGATTCAATTGAGTGCCTTTCCAAGTCAAGTCAGGACTGCCCTTCAAAAGTAGTAGGCCCTGTTTATACTTACTGGAGATTGACACTGCTGTCTGGATGCAGCAGGGGTGGATTGTTGTAGCAGGTCTGGTGAAGACCTGCTAATTTGATGGCAGAGCACTCTCTTTTCAACTCCAGTTCACCACCAGAATGAGAAGAGTAAGGTAAGTCGATGCAGCACAATGTAAACGCTGCCGTAAATTAACCTAAGATGTGTTGGCTTCAGTTACACTGCTCCAGCTATGTGAATAATGTGACTTAGGTCAGTTTACCATGGCAGAAATATTAGAAAGGCGTTAGAAAGATTAATGTGTCTGTAGGGGCATGTGTCCTACACTTAGCTCTGTGATATCCAGCCTATTGTATATCTTCTACTCTCGAGATGAAGTTAAATGTATCCGTGTTTGAACCTCAAATGAAAAAATGCTACTTTTCTAATCTGTGTAATCTAGAAGAGATATAAGCCATGTAATAGTCCGTGTTACCAGCAAAGTTGAGTCTTCCAGTAGCTTTATTGACCTGGAGAAAGACTAGGAAGACCTACCAAATCTGTTCCCCCTTTATATTTATTTACTTACTTACAATATTTTTACCTTGCCTCTCAGAGCCACTTGTTAGCAACTGAGCAGGAGTTATTCAGAGTGCTTGCTACAGTCATCTTCAGTTCTGTATTCTTCTGCGGAACCAAGTAAAGCTTCATTCTTTTGTTTCCTGTTCTTTTTGTGCTAATGGCTTCTAATCATGCTAGATTTTTTTTTTAAACAAAGATATGATTAACTCAGATTTTTAGGTAGCCAATTTATTTTGAAGATTTAGTGACCATTAATAAAAAAGTGGCAATATTCTTCAGTAGCCACCCTTGACTTCTTATAACATTGAAGTCTCTGAACCATCCTAGAACTTCAAGAAAGCAAGCACTTCCACCACTGGGGTTGCATGTATCTGGTATAGTAAGCTTCTTCATCTTAGGAAACACAGTAAAAATAAAGTACTCAAGCACACAGTATGTAGCAGAAGTTTGAAAACAAGCTATGGAAACATTGAATTCCAGGCCATCTAGTGTCCTCCTTGGGTACAGAATACTCTGTCTCAAGAGCGGTGGAATCATTTTTGGGGAGAATCCGTTTTTTAATGTCAGTGTTCAGCAAATAAAAAGCAAAGCTGTACATAATTTCAGTGTGGAATTTTACACTGGCAGTTTACATCTTGGTTGATAAAAGTAAAAAGTCTCCTTTTATCAAGATTTACATAGCTAAACCTGAATCTTTCTAGTTAGCAACCTGGTTTAGTTTTGTGTTTAAATGGCCATAGATGCCAAGCAAACAGTTGAAAGCTTTCATGGGGGGGGGGGGAAAACATGAAAGGAAATCCGTTACTGAGAGCGCTTTGTCAGCACTTTGGGTATAGACAGTTCTCAACATTGAAGAAAAGAGAAATGGCAGCAAGTTCAGAAATGCTTGACACTCAATTTGCCATTTGTGGGGAAGCCCATTATTGGTATACAGTGTAACTTTACAGCTAGTTCCTGTCTGCCTAAGGGCATAATATATAAGCAGAACAAACTTTAATCTTTCCTATACAGAGGTTAATCTATATCTATATTTAGACATAGTCAGAAAATGTATTGCAGTAAAACCTGTTATCCCAGCACACCCGAGGATTAGGGCATGCCGGTAACCTAAAAATTCTGGTTAAATGGGGGCAGGGGCCACAGGAGCTGTGTGGAGGCTGGAATGTGGCTTACTGGGGGGGCCATTAGCTGTGGGGGGGAGGGAGGATGTGGCCTGGTGAGGGAGGTGGAAGCTGGGGGCAGCCTGGTGGGGTTGGGGGGAGGTTGGCCTGCCAGGGGTGCCAGGAGCCATGGGGGGAGCTGAGATGCTTGCTGCTTGCTTCTGGCTGCCTTTCACCCCTCCCTCATGTATGTGCTGCACGCTCGTGTGTGGGGGGGGTCAGTTTCCTCCCCCCCCTTTCTTTTCCCCGTGTCAGAAATTTGCTGGTTTCTACAGTTTTCCAGATGCTTAAGTTCCAGATAGCACAGGTTTTACTGTATTTTCCTGAATGTTAATTTTTCAGCACTAGCAGCATTTTAGGTGCTTAACTGAAGACGTGAATCTGTTGAGATTACTTCTGCAGATGAAACTTATGTTTTCTATTGTTTCTTAAATAGAAACCATTCTGGCCTCCATTTAATCTTGGTGAGTCATTGAAATGCAGATAAACTGCATTCCTTTGACACTGTACGTCAAGTTTATAGTACCATAAGCAGCCCAACCCCCAACACATTCACTTTTGGGGGAGTATTCTTGATAAGAATCCTTTAACTATTTCCATTATTGGTTTGTAGTGGTTCTTGAAGTGAAATAATCTTAAAATAGCCAAAGACAGTTTAACATTTGAGGTAGCGAAGACAAGGGTTCATATGCACTAAGCAGAACTTACATGCAGATGTTAAAAACATTCTGATTTTTTTTTCTTCCCTCACAAAAACCCTTGAGCACTTCTTGACCTCATCTATCTTTTCCACCCATCCATGCACATATCACCTTGGCCTCCATCTGCTAGTGCAGTGGTTCTCAACCGTGGGCCATATGGCTCCCCAAAGGCCACACCCTACCTCTAGGGGGCCACATGGAAAAAACAGAACAGTAGGTAAATTATGGACCTTCTTTTCCAACTAACAGCCGCTATGTGGGGGGCTACAGAGGTAAATGAGGCTCAGAAGGGGGCCATGAGCAAAAAAAGGTTGAGAAACACTGTGCTAGTGCATGGACTTGGAATTTTCCTTCGTGCTTGATAACCAGAGGGCAAACCTGCTAGCTAAAGACCAATGATGAAGGTGGGGGGGGGGAGGCGGCGGCAGCACTGGTCAAGGGCAACACTTAGGTGGCACTGCACCCACTTGGTTGTCCTCCAGTCCACTTGCCTACAGCTGTAGGGAAGGAGCAGGGCTATTGAATTCTCACTGGGATACTGTCCCTAAATAATGCATGCGGTCATGTCTTTCATGTCAAACTCCAAATCATGGGTGTCAAAGTGGGAACCCCTTCTGGCTGCTGTATGAGGGAAAACAACATTGCCACCTCCTTCCCATCTGTTCTCAAGCCTCTTGAGTTCTGCAGGTCACAACAACATCAGGGAAAGTTTGTGCCACCATCAATGGAAATCATTGAAGTCCCCTTCACACTAAATTTCCTGTCAGCCTTTCTGCTAAACTGAGTTTTCTTTAAGCTGTCGCACTTGAGAAATGCGCAAACATGAACTAAATGTGGCACAGGAGGAAGATGATGTGCTGAGGCCAAGAAAATAACTTCTGTTTTTTTCCTTTTTCCATGGCTAGATTGAGAGACGTTTGGACACAGTCAGATCTGTGTGCCATATTGCACAGAAGAGGCTCACAGCATGTTTCCAGGGCCAGTATGGCACCGATGCTGATAAAAGACATGTAAGTACAAAGCACTTCAGACTGCACTGAGTCTGGTCTGCAAAGCCTTCCATGTACTGAACAGCTGTCATGTCCAGAGTCATCCCATTTGTTGACATTTCCTACTGATTGGAATGCTTTGATATCCTTCACAAGCCAGCCTCAGTAGCCCCACTGTGCACTGTCAGAGCACCTCCTCTGTTCCCTGGCGCTGGGGAATGTGGTTGACTTAGGGTTTTTAGGTATGCTGAGCCTCGGCAGCTGCTGCTGGCTTTGTTAGGAGTTTCAGGTGCTCAGTCTAGTTCAGTCGCTAACTCTTAAAAGCGCGTACAGAATTCTGTTGAGTAAAATCTGTCAGACCTTCCCACAAAATAAGCTAAATATTTATCCTATAAACATCTGGAGATGGCCTTGCACAAGGTCCCCAATCAAATAACTCTGGTTCTTATACACAGACTTTGAGAACACCCTCCCAACAGATTTTCAAACCTCTGTATAGACCTCAAGCAAAGTTGTAATCTCTATACACACAATAGAATCTATGGCCAGTTTTCATTGAGGTAATCATAGTTAATAGAGACCAGGTGAGAAGATGTAGTTCCAATAGAAAAATCTAAAAGTGAGTCTTGTGAGACACACTACACCAAGTGTTTCATGGTCAAAAACTATAACTGGGTTGAAAAGCAGCCTTGGTTGGTTGGCCTTCTGAAAGTCAAGCTTACTCTGGCTAAACAGCTTGCACTAACTAGATGTCTACTCTAACTGCTTCCTAAATTATGATGCATGATCATTAGCACCTCGACTATATTCAACTTTCTCCTGTGCAGCTTTTAAATTGGCCGTTTAGCTTGAGAGTTAATCTCTCGACTATCCTATCATACCCACAAGAGTAGCAAATATAATTTTAAATTCATTTCAAAGGCCATTAAGCTGATCTGGAACTCTAAATGAAATAGCCAAAAAATATTTCCGTGGAGAGTGTAGGAAAGGGAAGGGCAAACTTTAAAACAGATGCCTTGGAAAAAGACTGCAAAGAGTATCTTAAGGGAGGGAAACTAAATGCTGAGTCTCTTCTCTTCTACAGAAAAAGCTTCCTCTAACAGCTTTTGCCCAAAATATGCAAGAAGGATCTGTCCAGCTCACTGATGATACTCTGTTGGGGTAAGTGCCTGGCGTTTTGTGGAGCTGTGACCCCTCAACAATTAGCTCTGCATGCAGTAACTTCTGTAAAATGTGTCTGCTAACATGCTTGTACCTTTAGTTACATTAAAGTAATGGTTAGGAGCTAATCCAGTTTAAGTGCTGCGTCAGTTTAGACAATCTGCAGGACTGTGCTGATAGTCTTCAGCCCTTAAGTTGATGTTAATTTATTGATCTAGACACATTGGCAGCTTTTTTCATAAAATCATAGAAATGTGGGTCTGAAAGGAACCTCAAGAGGCCAGCTAGCACAGCCCCTTGCACAGTGGCAAGTCTAGACAAACTTAGACCATCCCTGACAGGTGTTCGTTAGAGGTTTTTTTAAAAACAAGTTTATTGGAGAGTCCACATCATGGAATCCTAGAACTAGAAGGGGCCTCAAGAGGTCATTGAGTCCAGTCCCTTGTCCTCACGGAAGGACCAAGCACCAGATATCCCTGAGAGGTGTCTGTCCAACCTACTCTTGAATATCTCCAGGGATGGAGACTCCACAACCTCCCCAGGCAACTTATTCCAGTGTTTCACCACCCTGACAGGTAGGAAGTTTTTCCTAATGTCCAATCTAAACCTCCCTTGCTGCAATTTCAGCCCATTGCTTCATGTCCTGTCCTCCGAGGCCAAGGAGAACAATTTTTCTCCCTCCTCCTTGTTAACACCCTTTTCGATATTTGAAAGCTGCTGTCACATCCCCTCTCAGTCTTCTCCTTTCCAAACTAAACAAGCCCAATTCTTTCAGTCTTCCCTGATAGCTCATGTTTTCTAGACCTTTCATCAGTCTCCTTAATCACATGCCTCTTTGAAGCCTGTTTGAGAGCTTAACTACCTTCCTGGTTAGAACACTTTCCTTAATATCCAACCTAAGCCTCCCTTTCTGCAAATTAAGCCAATTACAACCTGTCATTCAGTGGATGTAGAAGACAATTGATCACCATCCTCTTTAAAACGGCCTATAACCTACATTAAGTCTGTTATCCTGGCTGTCTTTTCTCAGGCCTAAGCATGTCCTATTTTTAACCTTTCCTCATGGGTCAAGAGCTCTAAACTTTCTAGCATCCTTGTTGTTCTCTGAACTTTTTCCAATTGGTCCACATCTTTCCTAAGTTTGGTGCCCAGAATTGGATACAGTTTTCCAGCTGAGGCTGCACCAGTGCCAAATAGTGAGACGTTTACCTCCCATATCTTACAACAGTCTTGTTAATATACGCCAAGATAATAGTCTATTTTGCAGCTGTCTTTACATGACTTGTATTCAATTTCTGATCCTCTCTAACACCCAGATCCTTTACAGCTATACAACTATCTAGCCAGTCATTCCCCATTTTGTAGATCTGCATTTGATTTCTTTGCTTAGGAAGGAAAATACTTTTCACTTGTCCTTGTCACATTTCATCTTGTTGAATTCAGACCAGTTCTCCAATTTATCAAGGTCATTTTGAATTCTAATGCTGTCCTCCAAAGTGCACGCAACCTTTTCAAGCTTGGTGTCCTCTGCAGACTTTATAAGATTCACCACTGTTATCCAACCCCTAAAGGAAAATATCAAATAGTATCAGCCCCAAGACTGACCCCTGTAGCATCCCATTAGATACACCCTCCCTGTCTGTCAATGAATCACTGATTGTAGAGTTCTGAAACAAGCTAACCTCAGTAAGCTAACAATGAATTCCAGATTCCCAGGAACCAACATTTTCTTCAAACTTGAAATGTATTCTAATGAGGAGGATGGAGGCTTCCCTAAAAGCCTGGGAATTTATTTTAGGGCTGAGACTGGAACTTAAGGAAAAGGTCATAATATTGAAGTAATCCTGGTTGATCTTTCAGAACAAAGGCCAAATCATGGTCTGGGTTTTGAATCTGTCAACTATGTTGTTGCTTGATATTACGTTTTTGATATTAAGTATTAAGTTTTTGATATTAAAGGGATGTACATTGGAAAGGGGAAAATCAAACACCTACATTCAGAACCAGGACCTGAAGTCTAATCAAACTATTCACTGAAGGGTCTGAAAGTGGTAGGATGGAGAATTGACCCTGAAGCCTTTCTGCACCCCCAAGCCTGGGGCTGCTTCATCCCCTAGAATAACTTAAAGCATCCGGAAGACATTTCAGTTGCAATAGTAATAGAGATTCCCGAGGG